CGTGGGAGACCTCAGACAGCCATCGAGACGTTTTCCTACCACCTGAATCCCGCTATACTTCTGAAGCTCACGGATAGTATGCCAAATGGTCTATTAAATCTCACTTCTAAAAAAGGAAGTCACGCTAGTTACTAATATTTACGATGTTCACTTTTTCTCTGGAAAAATAGAGTTATGTTGCAAGTGGCTTTATACTTTTGAAACAGGGGATATTTGGAAATCTTCTTATAAAAATGTATGTGAATCATTTTGTTTCCTGAAATAAAGAGAACAATGGTTTCCAAACACGCTGAATTCAATAAAGTTTATGGCAAGCCATGAAATACTCACCTTAACTCGGAAAGTTAGTTTTCATGGGTGGCTTTATACTTTTGAAACGCACTGTATATAGTTGAGGTCTTTTGGAATGCTTGTGTAAATTTCTCGTCCTACCCTTTCATGGTGTGTTGCTCAAAGCTGCTGTTACTACAGCGCAGTGATCATGAGGCCGTTCGGCACTGCAAATTTCAACCAACAAACTCACTATGTGAACTGTGTTGCTGTACAAGAAGGGAGACTGGACGACATTGGCAACTATCGCCCAATCTGCCTGCTGTCTGTAATCTACAAGCTATTCACTCGAACAGGATCGGCAGAATACTGGATGAAGGACAGCCATGCGAGCAAGCAGGGTTCCGAAGAGGGTTCAGCACGATCGACCATATCCACACGGTTACAAGACTCATTGAAGTTTCACGAGAGTACAAGATGCCGCTTTGTCTCACGTTCATCGACTTGAAGAAGGCCTTCGACTCTGTGGAGACAGAAGCGGTCATCGAAGCCTTGGGCAACCATACTCAGTACATCAAGATTCTTCGTGAGCTCTACAGCAACTTTACGACCAGAATCTCACCATTCTACAAGGAGGTCATCATCGACGTCAAGAGAGGGGTTCGACAGGGCGACACCATCTCGCCCAAACTCTTCAGCGCCGCTCTCGAGAACGTCATGCGTCAACTGGAATGGGAAGACATGGGAGTGAAGGTCGACGGCCGGCAACTACACCACCTTCGTTTTGCTGACGACATCGTTCTTATAACATCGAGCAAGCGGAGCGAATGCTGGCTGATTTCGACTGTGGTAAGGTCGGTCTACAGCTGAACCTAACGAAGACGATGTTTATGAGAAACGGATTGGTTCCTGATGCCCCATTCACGCTCAACGGAACGAACATCACCGAATGCTCCAGCTACGTGTACCTAGGTCGGGAAATCAATATGATGAACGACCTAGCTCCAGAGCTGAGCAGGAGGAAACGAGCGGCTTGGGGAGCGTTTAAGAACATCGAGGGAGTAGTGAAGAAGACGAAGAACATCCGGCTCCGTGCCCACCTCTTCGATTCCGCTGTCCTTCCTGCCCTAACCTACGCCTCAGAGACTTGGACTCTGCGCAGGCAGGACGAGCATGCGGTCAGCGTTATCCAACGCGCTGTCGAGAGGACGATGCTAGGAGTAACCCTATACACGCAAGTGCAGTTCCGAACTACGCCAACGATCGAAGATCAGGGACGCTGCCGTTTTCGCCAAGGAATCGAAGATAAGGTGGGCCGGACACGTCATGCGATTTTGCGATGACCGTTGGACCAGAGCGGTTACCGACTGGATCCCTCGGGACGTCAAACGAACACCTGGACGACCGCCGGCCCGATGGTCAGACTTCTTCACGAAAGCTCTGAACGAAAGGAATGAAGGACTTCGTGTCCCTCGAGCGAGGAGGATCCACTGGACAACTCTTGCACGCGACAGGGACGAATGGAGACGTTGCTGGCGCCCGCTCGAGCAAATCGATGATCAACGGGACGACAGGTGATACAGGTGGAATGATTATAGAGACGACGCAGTCATTGAGTTTGATTATACGCTAAGAGCTAACAAAAATTGACGTAACTTACGTCCTTCTTCGACTCTTTTTAAAACACCAGCCATGCATTTGAATTCTTTCATGGCAGTTAAGTCACATTTACGGCAATATATAATGGTTGCCAAAGGATACGATTTATTACAGAGCTAACAAATTCGGTAAAAGTGATGGTTTTTGAATGTTTCTATCGTGGGAACTTTCCGAGCCGTTCTTCTGTTTCAGCGGCATCCAAGGACTGAAAATGGGCGCCTTTACGACTTTGTCTTCGTAGTCATGGAGAAGGTGTGGGAACAGGGCCAAACGTCATGTTGGGAAAATTTTGCAACTGGGCGACGAGTTTCCTCCTCTGGAGGGGTCTTCAAGACAACTTCCTCCAACAATCCGTAGACATAGTTTTTCTACACAGCACAGCAACCGCAGGGGCAGATGGTCTCGGCAGTTGCCGGTGCTAAATAGACACTATGTCTCCTGCTACACGCACATATCTACTGCAGACGTTGATACCATTGCAGTACTAGGATGACCAGCTAACAGGCCTGGCCCAGGCCTCTCAGTTCGCCAATCACCTTATCAAAAGATCTATGTAATACTTGCACATGTTCGATCTTAATGCCCTAATAGCAATGAATTTGATGCGGCATTCAGGCAAGTTGTTCCCTCAGACATATGTATGGTGTCATTCAGAAGCGTAGGTCTTATTTGAGTAATGCATTGCATTTGCAGCAGCTCTAGTTCAGGCCTCGTTGCAGCAAGATGTGATGTACATAGTAACCTCACGGATTATACCGATTCGACGTGCCCCATCATTTCACTAAATGCCTCTCGACGAGCTTCTTTTGTACATTTTTGCTCGAACTCGCTCATTTGCCTAATCAATGGTTTTGCCCTCCTATCCTCCTATCCTTCTACCAGTTTAGCTCCGCACGCAACCGCGCGCATCACATGGTAGGCTTAGTGAAACTGGACAACTTGCTGAATATTAGGTCACGTGGCTGAGAAACTAACAGTAAGATGTTTGGAAGATGTGTCACATGAATTTCAAAGGCTGTCCAATTTTGCTGAAGATTGTAGCGTAATGCGCGCAGTAGCATGCGGAATGAAAATGGTACTTATCATGACTTCGTAAACATTTAGCATTGATATCGAGCTCGGATGATTTAGCGGTTTATAGAATTTCCACAATTGAAGAATCGGTGTGTAAGTGAAATATAACCAATCAATCAGCATCTAACCGAGCTATGATGGAAATTGGAAATATAATGGAAATTCGCTATTGGTCCAAGTCCAGATAGTTGAGCAGCTCAACTTTCTTTGCTTCTTTAGATGAAAGGGTAGGAATGGAACATATTCACGTGCTAGGGACCTGGTTTAGTTCAACTGAGTGCACGCTCAACTGTCGCTACTTTTATCAGTACAGTTGCCGCTCATACCACTTTCTGTCACCTACATTCAACCCTCGCCACCTTGATCGCTTGCCAGTGATAATTGCAACGAAGTTGGAGAGACCTGCATTCAAACGCTCTTATCATTCCTTGTCATTTGTTATCAGTTCATACTGTTCGCAATCGGTGTCCCGGTCCCAACCTCCAGGCAACGTGTAGGAGCTAATATTTACTGTCACCACGAAGGCTGCAACGAAATTAGCAGTACTCAAAATCCTAACTTCCTTATCAACCGTTATCGCTTGTTATCACTTCTGATCATCCGCTATCCGTGTTCCCGTCCCATCCCCTATACCACATGTGAGAGCCAAGGTTCCAATGTAACCGCAAGGGCCGCAACGAAACTGGTGGTATCCACACTTTGACGCCCCTTATCAGTTCTTATCAGTTGCTACCACATTCGTTCACTCAACTTCTTGGTCCCCGCCTCACCCCACATATCATACATGAGTGCAAACTCTCCACCATCAACGCGAACGGTGTAACGAAATTGGTGACATCAACATTTCGACGTCCGTTATCATCACTTCCCGCCACCCGTCATCAGTGTTCACCTCCGGCCCCCTATATATCCTAGAAGTTTGAGCGCTCTGGGTCCAAAGGGGGTGAAGTTATGAATTTCCGGTCAGACACACACACAACCGCTTAGCCGAATATATAGTAGGATCTTATGAACCGGTGTCGGTTAACTTGGTGTGTCGGTTTGTATGTCTGTATGTGTGTATGTATGTATGTATGTATGTGTGTCCGTCCGCAAAATGAAGTGAGTGAGAAGGAAGCTCATGGGATAAACAAACCGCTAACAAATCGGGTAGCTCGCAGGATTTCTATCAATGTTTTGCAATGGCATGATTGTGATAACACCCCAACGGCTATAAACACCTACTTAGCACACTTCCGGTCATTCCACAAGGTGCTGCAGTGGCAGCTGGAGAGCAGTGGGGATCAAGGGAGGATAAGATGAAGAGGAGGAACCCAAGATTTGCATGAAGGAAGGATCCGCCGGTTGCCGGGGGACCAATCGAAGAATGAAAATGTGTATATAACTCTTTCGACCCTAGCGGTAGCAATTGCCACCATCAAATTCAAAGGTCTGCATTACCTGGCGCAACAGCATATTCCTATTACTTCTGCTAGAGGTCGCTTCAGATAACCTTTTCCTTCCGAATTTTGCTTCGCACCCATCATTTCATGTTGCTACTAACATTACAAGTATTTGTGTTAAAGTAATCAATCATATCAATCATAGTAGTTCAATCTCTTCTGAAATAATTGATATATATTCATTTTGCTGTCAAAAACGTGAGGTGTAATATTGTGCCAGATAATAAGCTTTTTCGACATGAAGGAATTCTTCGACATAGTAAGCTAAAGCACCGAGCTGGGTCAATTTTCTCTACTTCCTAGCTTCTTATTTTGTGGCCGAGAAGCTTCCAAATGGTGTTATATATGTGTGCGCTCACAAGTAATGAACGATGGCATGAAGATTTTTCTTCTGTGGGAAAGGCTCAGGGCTCAACAGGTAAACAGGCATGCATACATGGAAATATAAACTTGCCCAGATTCACGCGTGCATTTATGTGTTTACTACTCGCTGATTCATTTGCGCTCAATCATATGTGCAACCAATCAATCGTTTGTATATCGCGGAATAGTACAATGATCATATGCAGCTGTAAACAAGTGAGTTCCGTGGATGAACTGCAAACACTTTTATCAGCCTTCCGAATTGGTCGTGCTTCGATGGCAATTGCCTCCACTCTTAATAATGCAGCTCCGAAGTACGCGGAAATACAGTGAGTCCATTAATATAAGGAGTAATTGGTCTTTTTAGAAACCATTTGAATTATGCATGGAATAAAAGGACGCAATCGCAAGATGCGGTGTATTTTCAAGGGTGTGTCCTAAGACGGGCAGGAACTCCGCGGAGAATGAAAATTGCTCGTGCACCTGGAGTCCCTCCCCGTTTGCCACTTGGTCTTGTTTATGAAAAAAAAGAAGCTTGACGCGCGACAGTTTCAGTAAATGCCATAGTGGTACGCTGACTTATCCAGAAAACCCTGCGACACTTCGAACAAAGTGTCTCGGGAAAGAACTAAACCCTTTTTAATTGTTTTCGCGTCTTCAAAGGTTTCAGTAGAAGCGTTCATGAAGCTTCGTGCAACGTTTTTCAGCTTAAAACTTCTCTGAAACTCGCATCTTTAGATCTGTTTTATTTTCCGAGCCTCTCTAATGCCACTCTGTTTGTGTATTTGCAAGCACTTGTGGTGTATTTAGGAAGTAGGCTCTTCAGCAGGCCATAGGGTCCCGTTGCTCTCAAGTTCTCGCGCCCGGAGATATTCGATAAGTAAAAAAAAGTGCTCCAGTCAGCTGTAGGCACCCTACTAAGATCGTCACTAGGGGGAGACGGTCAAGAGTCCCCCGCGACCGCCGCGCCTAAAACTAGGTCACCGCGCGCGACGTCGCCGGCGTTTTTGCAGTTTGAAACATGGCAATTGGCCAAGTTTAGGACCCGCCTCTCTAGACGATCGATACAACACTTTTTTGTTCCGTCTGTGTAGTCCCCATTTCTGCATTTGTTTTTGCTTAGTCCTAGCGAATTGCCACGTTCCAACTTGTAAGGACCGGTAGCCGCCGCGTGCGGTGACCTACTTTCGCTTGCGCGGCGACCTCAGGGGGACTCTTGTCTCGCATCCAGGGACAGGAGGAGGCGCCGCCGTCAAATAAGATGTACCGCCGCGGCAATGCACACACTGCGCTATACCCTACGCGCAAAACGTTTGAAAAATGGGTTAAAGGCTTGGAGCGTTTTGGCAAATATGGGTATGATCTCTCGGAGACGGAGGAACATTGTGCGAGCCAGGTGGAGGCCGAACATACAAAGGAGTGCATGAAACACCTTAACTGTGACACATAGTAAAGTACAGTGCAGTGAAAGACAAGGTGAGGTCTACAACTTGCGATTGGAAACCTCAAGAAGAATACTAGTGACCATTCACAGTCTTACTGAGGGGAAAGGTTGACTCCTGCGTTCCTAGCAAAATCAAGTTCCATCTCCAAGACTGTCATATCATATTTGCCGAAACGTTGTGTCACGTAGCAACTCACCATTCCCCATTTTAGACCCGTTGCACGTGAGGTACAGTGTGTGCATTGCCGCGTAGGTACATTTTATTTTATTATTTTTCATTTTTATGGCAGCCGCATCCTGTCCCTAGTGACGATCCTCACACACACGTGCAAGTCGCTCAAATGAGCTCCCCTGTGGCAATCTTACAAACTGACTGAGGGGATTGGCTGTTATTCTTTAACGAGTAATGAAGCAGTAACTGAGGAGATTTGCTGCTGTGCGTTTAATGAGCTAATTCTGCACAGTTAATAGTGACGCCGGTGCTATACAAGTAGGGTGGGCACGCCGCATTTTTTTGAACAGAAATGTATGTAAGTGGGACTGCTGCCCGCTACTATACTGTCACGAGAATCGGGGAATTCGTGAGCCAGGGGGAGTGTAGCCAATCTAGGGGGTGGGGGTGAGGGCAGTCACTTGACATGCGTGAAAAGCTGGGCGTGCCCACCCCACTTGTATAGAGCCGTGACGTTCCTCTTTCAGGGTTTCTGAACATCACTTGGGTAGTAACTGAGTCACTGATTACAACAAACCAGAACACAACCAATGTGCAACACACTACAACATTAGGAGAAATAATCTTGACCTCTTGGAGCAAGAAAGTAACACAGGAGATCCAAGATACTGGCAAGGAAATGGAGTGGAAAAGACACCACGGCACAATCTCAGATGCACTGCCAGGCAACAAAATGACAAATGAGTCACAGAAGCCATCCAGTCATAATTCAGCAAGCGTACCGTGACTATGACCCAAACGCATTCGCCACACAAATCGGTCGATACTGCACAATGTTCCTCCGTCTCCGAGAGATCATACCCATATTTGCCAAAACGCTCCAAGCCTTTGACCCCATTTTTCAAACGTTTTGCGCGTAGGGTATAGCGCAGTGTGTGCATTGCCGCGGCGGTACATCTTATTTGACGGCGGCGCCGCCTCCTGTCCTCTAGTGACGATCACCCTACTAATATATGTATACCAGTTTAGCTCCGCACGCATCCGCGCGCATCATATGGTGGGCTTCAGTGAAACTGGACAACTCTATAGAATATTAGGTCACATGGCTGAGAAAAATTATTGAGCTGATCACTGGCAAACGATAAAGGGAGCGAGTATTGATGGTGGGTGACAGGAAGGATAATGAGCGTCAACTATACTGATAAAAGTGGCGACAATTGAGTGCGCTCATTTGAATTGAACCAGGTTCTTAGCACGTGAATATGTTGCGATTCCCAACTTTCCACCCAAAAAAAGCAAAGGAACTCTAGCCGCTCAGCTATCTGAGAGGTAGTGAAGTGCCCACGTGACAATGAGTTCGTGGTAACTTTGTGATGGCTTCCAAACGAAGTCACCCTAAAATATGCGTAGAGCACCTCTAGAACCCCTCCGAAGATTCCCCGTCAGAATGGTCGAAGTGAGTTCGAACTCACTTGGAAGTGGGGGGATGACATCACGTGCTAGTAAGAGGATTAGCAGGGTGGTCATCCATAAACTAACATCGATGGCGGCAGAGAAAAGGAAATAGTGCGCGCGCGGTGGAGGGCGCAAACATGCTGCCACTTCATCTCTAAAAAGTCCTCCGGAGGACTTTTTAGAGATGGCCATCTCCAAACAGCCAGGCTGTGTGGGTCAAAGCAGTAAGTTGAAAAGGGAAAGGGAAGCAACTTGCATTGATTCGTCAATGGTGTAGCGCCTGCGGTCCACGTTGGTGTTGGATCGGTCACGGGATCGATACTACTAGATGTCAAAATCTTTGCAACTTTTGTGGGTTATTGCCTTTTCTCTACAACTCTTTCACCGTCGATAAGAAGGGCTCCATAGTGCAGTGGTAGCGATGCCGCTCATGGGACGGTGCACCGAAGGTTCAAACCCGTGTGTGACGCGACTTTTGCAAGCAACGTGGTGGATGCTCACCACTTCACCTATGGCAAATTGCCATTGGCTCAATGGGGACGTTCCACGCTGCCGCTGGCAAGGTTGCTGGATCAACACCGCTTGAGTCTAAGATTTGCAAACAACATCCATTGCATACCTTTCATCAACATCTCTTCCAGTGGTGTGGTCGAGTGATCCCTGGTGCAGTGGCAAAAACCCGGCTATGAGCCTACCATCCAGGGCTCAAGTCCGAGAGGATGCAAGTTTTGCAGGTCGTGTGGCGAGGCTGGCGGTTTCAACTAGGGTCATGTCCACGTTTCCACGCTCTCTATTCCTCGCCAATGGGTGTAAATCACCACATTTGATTGTCAGTCTAGGGCCCTGGCTATATCAAGTGCCCTAGACTGACATCAATAGAATTTCCATGAGAGTTAGGCTAGATGCTGCTTGATTCTTTCATGCGTCACTCATACACCTATGCCCTAATTGTGGAAATTCTATAGACCGCTAAATCATCCGAGCTCGATATCAATGCTAAATGTTTACGAAGTCATGATAAGTACCAGCTTCATTCCGCATGCTACTGCGCGCATTACGCGACAATCTTCAGCAAAATTGGACAACCTTTGAATTCATGTGACACATCTTCCAAACATCTTACTATTAGTTTCTCAGCCACGTGACCTAATATTCTGCAAGTTGTCCAGTTTCACTGAATCCCACATGTGATGCGCGCGGTCGCGTGCGGAGCTAAACTGGTGGATGATGAGCGTCTACATAATTTTTCCGAGGAGTAACCGTTGCTACCAGTCATGGATCAGAAACAGCGCTAAAGCGCACCCATTAACTGTTATCGTGGATCCCCACGATCTTGCTTATAGGGCATCATGTTCGAAATGAGTATCACATGGGTTGCGCCAAACCGGGGAGACGCCTTAACAAAAGCAGAGCTTCGTGGAGGAGGATTTCTGTGTTCTGGTTTGATACCGAAAGGGTACTATTGCCTACCCAGACGCATATCTGCATGTACCAAAATATTACTTATCGGAAGATCGTGGATTCCGATTGCAAAACGTTTCTATGCTTCACATACCTACATGCTCGTTCGACATCGACGCTAGTGAATAATATCTAATGTACTAAAGCGTTATCTGAATGCCGAAAATTCCGATTATTGAGGAAAAATGGGAGATTGCTTCTTTTAAAGACGTCAGATACTAAAGTAAGAGAGCTGTGAACTGCTCGGAAAAGGGGAACGTCGTCTAATTGCTGATGGTGATAATTTTACCGATTGAGCCTTCCCAAGTAAAGAAGGTGCAATAAGATTTTCGAGTCGAAGAGTCGGAGGACTTTTTGAACAAGCAATACTTGAATCGAGACATTTTTCAAGGAGAAAGGTCGTCTACAAGTCAGATCCTGCTCACCAGGGTCAGCCTACGCTGTACTTACGAAATCTTCGAGATAAAGGAGATTATAGGTGAGATGTTTATGGATGTCCCCGACTTTTGTGATATTGCAAAATGAAAAAAATTTTGTCATCATCACTGCGAGTGCATTGTTATATAAGGCTTTTTGAGGATTTGCGACGTGGAGCTGCGCGTGAAAGCAATGCGAATACGAATACATTCGGCTGTCATCGCAGCGCATAGCGCTAAAATAGCTAATGTGAGTATACTTTCACGATGTTGCCTTTACACTTCAGCAGTGCCCATTAGGCTGGTGTCGGACTTCGCTACTAGAACGATCCGCTAACGAGTCTATGGGTTGCAAAGCCTATAAAAGTTAATGTGTATGTTGCCCCAAACAACGCTGATGGAATTGAAACGGAACTTCCCATGCCCATCCTGTACTTCACTCACGTTTCATTGTTCTTAAAGAAGTCGCAAAGTGTATTATTGATCTGATCAGCACAAAAGAAAACTGTTCCTTGTCGCGGAATTCAGGGTCTTTGAAAAACTAGGGAAGAGTGACGATATCATATGGTATCAACTACTCGCTGTTATAGCTTGTCGCCGAAAGTCATGAATCACTAAAAATTGACATGAGTGATTTCAAGTTAGAATCTGTGAACAAAGTTGTGGATTGGTTATACAATGGAGAGGTTTGCTTTCGAATGCTTTTAGAAGTGATTAGATATTTTTGGGGGTACATTCCACGACAAGCCAATGGAGCCACCCACTATCTGAGTTAGTTTATGCGCTACCGGACTGTAAGTATGACAAAAATCTAACATCAGTACGCAACGACGGGCTATCGTAACCCTAGGCCCTCAAAAAATCTGCGAGCCCGTCGCAGTCACATGCGCAACGAGTTCATCGTGATTGAATCTTCACAATTTTCAATTTAGTACCAGCTGCAACCTCATTCATACCTTTTGATTGTTCTTTTCTAATCTATTGCATCCTTCACTTCCCACGCCTATCAAGCTGGTACTATCATCATTGCCGACTGATGCAGGCTTGTGCTGTGGGTAGATTCTGGGTTTAAACGTGTTTGGCGTTAGCGGCATGACTCAATTCGTGTGCTTTCGAAGTTACACTCGAAATATGTTACCACGCGATCTTAATGCTATGGAAGTTCCTGCTTGTCTCCTAATTATTATACAACACAATTAGAAGCAGTTCCCGATCCACTTGATTGGCAGACCTCCGATTTTCGTGGTATTCTATTTTCACCACTCCTCTTATCCATAGGCTCATTTTAGGGCATCGTTTAGTCTTTAGTCATTATTGAGTTTTTGTTTTTCTATTTTTTTCTTGTGTTGCTTTATAATTGTAAAATTATCTCACTCGGTCAACCTCTCCAGCCTAGTATTGTCACGGATCAGCGCGTTCACTACGCATAAATAAATAAATAAATAAACAAAGGAAACTAAGACTACTTTGCACAAAAAATGCATAAGAGCTGAAACCATATCGTATGGATCGTACATAGCGTGATTGAGATCATCTCTAAGTAGCATGGTTAACAAACAACTAATCTTGATTTAGAAGAAGACGCTCGGTGCTGCCCAATAGGAATCCGAAGCGACGATGTTGAGCTCGTAATAACTTCGTTCACGGCGCGCTCTCATCTTTGACGGCGCCAGGCTTACGGTAGCCCGTTAGTTGCGTACCGAACTTAGATTATTGCGGTTGCACGGCAGGGTGAACTACTTAGAACAGCCAAGAAAAGGCGTTTTAGTTTCAGTCAGCTTTTAGCCGACTGTTTCCTCCTACTACTAGAAAGCTTCCACGTAGCGAATAGACCGTGAATAATTACGGAAAGACAGGAAGGAGTCTTTGCGGCGCATTGCTTCAGGCGGGGAGAGAATGCTCGCATTCTTCTCATGCATTCCAACTAGCAACTGTGAGGGCCCCCTCCAAGATGTACGGCTGTCGTATGGTTTTTCGGAATTCAGCCCTCATCCTCAGCATTTGATTTTGATTTCGGTTCTGGTTTTGGTCGGCTGCCGCGGAATGCATCTTTTAAGTAAACACACGGATTGCACCAGGTTTAATAATGAGGGTATTTTAAGGTGGAAATGAACATAGAGAATATCGTATACGATCTATCTGCAACGAGTCACCTCGGAGTGTTGGCCCTCCACAGGCAGCTTGAACAATCTGTCATATGTTTGGCTAACTCTCCAAAAACTCGGATAGAAGCTGTCAACATTGTGACCAATCCAGTTACTGGAGTAAGTGAAGTTTCAACTAATCACAGTGAAGTGGTAAAGGGTCATTAGAAAGCATTAAAGGAGGAATTCACGATTAGAATGAAGGTCGAAGAAAGGGAAACTGACCTAGTTGAGGGACCCACGGACCTCCTGAGGGTGCGAACTGACGCGCAATTCGCATGGAAAAATTTGACCTCGGCGACCTATCATGCCTCAAAGCTGGCGGGTCCGGCGATCTCCGCCCACCGATCATCTGATCACTCGCCGTAGTTCAATACGTGGCGAGTGATTAGATAGCTGAGAGAGCGTAGTGTTGAAGAGGGCACAGCGATGAGAGTCGCATCAATGCTCAAATCAACGGGCAAGGAAGGGGTCCCATTTCTCGGGTTCTGGGCCGTTTCTCATGGTTCTTCCTTCTTTCGTGTACCACTCACCATCCCTAGGTTAATTTGAAATGGGTTGCTTTTTCATCGTGAATTCGTCCTTTAAGGAAGTTGTTAGAAAGTTGAGACAGGAATCTCCAGCAATAATTTTATATCAATGGCTGGAACCTTGCGTAAAACCTAACGTCTAACCGCCTCTGCCTTGCGGTTTCGTACCTAGAAGTCGGTAGTCGGTGGGCTGGCCGACCTCTCTATCTGTTACAAGCTACTCTTTCACAGCACTGATCCTAGCCTTGGCTAATTCTTCATTGTTTACTATCTATAGTATGAGTATCATGTAAAGATCGACATAGCCGCGATATTTGTTGGTAAAAAGTGGTATATTAACGACTGCTCATCTGCTCAGACAACAGTGTAGATGAGAATGTCGCTACTCTTGATCTCAAAATTGCTAGAACTTCCACTAGAACATATTTCCACGCAAGGTACCAGTCACGTGAGGCATGAGATCTGCGTCTAATACTTATACTGTATGAAAAGCGGGATACAATGTGAACATCATTGTATAGAAATAAGCGCTGTATAAGCCCGAATAATGCCTATCATATCGTAGATGACCGAAGAAGCGAAGGATGTTATTTTGAGAATCATCTACCACAATCGTGCTGCTATAACGGCTAATGAAATAATGGTAAGCATGGTGAATCCTTCTTTGATATGATTGCATAAAAATCAATCTTTAACTGTAAAATTCAATGTTGCCAAGCATGAGACCGAGTGTCTCCTCTCCTTATCCACTT